GATAATTAAAACATATAAATACGATTATAATTCATATAGGTATCTGGTATATGAAAAATCAAAAAAATCAAAGTTCAATTATTACATTTACCACGTGTTTGTATTAACCTTATTACCTATATTAATTTTGAAAATATACTTATAGGTGCCTAATTATAGTATGTTTTAATTAGAATTTCTTTCGAATTTTGTTCTATATCTTAAATATTTAGGCGAATTGAAATAAAAATAACCGATACATTAATCGCGTATTAAAATAAATATTAAGTATATAGTTAGGTATATTATTTTTTACCTATATTTAACTTGTAGGATGGTAAAATAAAATTGTTCATTTTCTCCCTCACATAATGTGTAAGGAGTGATCCATTTAACTTCAGACTCTCATTATGTGTTTTGTGTAATATGTGTCTTACGAAAAGGACCATCCTGTATACATACGTATACCACGAAATGCATGGTTATGTAATCAATTAAATCAGGGGTGGATTGGGGAGAGATTTATGCCCGGGAAAATACTAAAGTATACCCGCCCACTTACTAATTTACCAAATATTGAAATTCTGCCAATATAATAGGTATATTATTATGTATTATTATTTTAACATAACTACGCATTTTTTAGCACATTTGGCGAGATATGCAATTCATAAAACTTTATCAAACTTTATATAACTACACTTTATAAAACTTTATTAGTTGTAGGTGTATACATCGATATAAAATTTATTTTTATTTTTGAACAGTTTATGTTTACACATTTATAATAGTCTGAGTACCTACCTATATAATATTATAACACTATAAAAGTGAATAGCTTAAATTACTAATGTTAAGATTTTTGTATTAAATAAGAGAGCTTATACCCATTCAATAATATTTAATAATGTGCTTTTAGACTTAAGTTAAATAAGTATTTTGATAACATTATCTATTTCGTATAGAAAATCTTTTTCTATCGCGATAAGTATAAAAGCTTATAATTTACTTCCACTTAATGTACCTACCTGATTAATGAACAAAATCAAAACTCAAAATCTATGTATATCTTTTTATTTTCTAGTAAAAAATCTTTTTCTGTTGTTACAATATTAAACTATTCATAATAATTAATAACATTATGTAATAGCGGTACTTCAATTCTAAACAATCAGAAAAATTAGAATAATACTTCCAACAAAGTGCCCGCCGAATTATTATTTACTTTATATAAACATATGCTGGTATCTTGTATAGTTGTTTCTTATGTATGGTATACTATTACAATCGTCTATAGACTATAATCTATAGCTTATAGGCGCTCACTGCAGACTCTAGCTTCAGAGGATATGATTCTTCACACCGAATGAGATTAATCCAGCCCATTTTATAATAGAATTTTTTTTTAAATAGGATTGGTATAAGTCTACTTTACCGGACACTCTTTTTTATTTCAATTCCCCCCCCCCCCCCCCGAAAAAAAATAGGTTCTAGTATACTGAATTCAAAAATGTTTGAAAAAATTTGCGGAAACTTAGACCTTGTTCAAATATTACAGCAAATCATGTATAGTTTTCGATATTATACATGCTTACTGCTCAAATCAGGTTGACTTTTTCTATTTTCTACTCCCACAGGATGTCAAGTAAAGTAGACTTGTTCCGAAGTTTGTCATTATACCTTTAGTCCACCCAACGTGGTTTTACATAACAAATCGAGGGATTTATAATTGTCTGATCAAGTGGCCCGTCTATATATATTACATTTGCTGTTTTGGCTTTTCACAAAATACTATTCGCTTTTTGTCGCTCGTCGTTATTGTATCCGCAAAGCACTGTAGGTAGATTGTCTAAATAAAATAAATATTTTTTTTTTGAAAAATAATTCAAATTTACTGCGCATGACGGTAATAAGTATTTAAGAATTTATATTTAGAATATATAGTTATTTGAAGAAGCAACCCCCGGGAAAACTCCTGAATTCCCGGAGCCCCAATCCACCCCTGAATTAAATCGTTAATATATAGGTACCTAATATACTCAGCATTTATAACTATTAATATGTTTAGCCCCCATATTATGCCCATATCGATATTGTCGATTTTAAAAAGTTATTAAATTTGCTTTTTTTGTCCGTGACACTACACGACCTACTGCATATTACGATAATTCGAAAAAAGCAAACATTTTTATTTTATTTTTTTATATGTTTGTTCATTTATGCCAGGACCTTTATTATAACTTTTTAGTTACCCAATAATAATTGGATTCAAATCAAAGCACGAGTTCGTGTATGCGTATATAATAAACATTTATTTTTTTTGCCACCGGCGATTGTTGGGGTCGATCGGTTTTTTATTGTACACATATTTGTGCCTTATTAAATCGAGTTTCCCCTCCAGCCGTGTGCGTTAAAACGATCGTCCGGGTTCCGGGAGCGTGCAGCTCCGTAATAATAATAATAATAATAATAATAATAATAATACACACACACATAATAAAATAATATACTATATAGAGGGCACTGTCATGGCGTCGGGGGCGCGGTTCTCCGCCAGTCGTGGTTCCGCCTATTTTCGCTCGTCATATATGCGGTTCTCTTGTGTTTTATTATATACATATTATATATTATTTGTATAGGTATACGCAGTGCCACATAACGGTACTGTTTACTCATTAACGACTCTATATATACATCCATTATACGCTTGTATTTACGTATATATTGTTATGTAGGTATTGCTGCTTCCGACTTAAGAATAATATGTACAGAACACACAAGACGTAAACGATTTTCTTGCTCTTCGCTGCAGAACTCGAATGCACTATATATGTAGATATAATACATTTGAACGAAGGTGGCGGGAAAATCGCGATTATGTTTATAGAGGATTAAATCATATCACATTATACACCGTTTACTGTATAATATTATGTAAAGGTACGTTTACTATTTTCATATTTTATATTTATTTCGTATACAATCACGTAGATATATGATACATCACATTTTACAAAAAAAAAAAAAAAATAATAGTAATAATTATACAGAAGTTAAGTAATTTTTACAAAGTATAATTACAGCACATTGTATATTATAATATATTATATTTAGGTAATGGGGTTGTGCAAAAGATATTTCCACATAATATAAACAGCTTATCTATGTATATATTCAGGCCTATTAAAATTTAAAACAATGTATAGGTAATCAATATAAGAAATACTCGTTGCAAGTAAATGCGAGCCTTCATAATATTTTATACTTATAACGTCAAATGAACATATAATATTATATACAATATTATATTATAAGGGAGAGATAAACAAACATAAAATGTAGCATACATTTCGACACACTTCTATATGATATACCAATAATCAATATATAATATATATGTAGGTACCTATATTATATTGATAATTTAACTTTAGATGATTACCTATTATATATATACCTACTAAATAAAAATAAAATAAAAAGAAACGACATATTCCTTTGAATTTTTATGATGATAATTTAAATTAATCAACGGCCATAATATAATAGTATAAGCTTATATAACTGTAAATTTATATACCTACTCTGCAATAAGTTTACATATTGCAGTATAGGTATATACTACACTTATATATATAGGTATAATAGGTCATCATTGACATGAATTTCTTAGCTTTTAACATGATTTATATTTCGTTTGATGATTAATAATTACACAACAGTTTATACATTGGAAATATTTTAATATTATACTTTTAGTTAGTATAGATACCTATAATAGGTATATACATATACACTATACATATATTGAGACTATATAATAATATATTTAGTTGATAAAATGTTTTACACCCATTTCAATTCAACCATCTCAGTGATTGTAAATTTACACAAGAATTGTTTAATAATACTTCAGGTAGGTAGGTATTATTAGGTTTATCCAACAGTCTATTTTTTTTATATACCTAATATTATAGAACCTACTTACAAAAATCTTAACTATATAATAATATACAAGTATTGAAGTATACAACTAAGAATGGTATTTATAGTGCTTTAAAAATTGAGGTTTATACACAAGTATAGGTTACATACATATATTACATAAACTTATAACTTATTATTAAATAAATACCTAGATAAATTATCATATACAGTACCTATAAAAATTCCAAGTGAAACTATCACGGGCAATTATCAAATTAATATATATATATTCTCATAAACATAAACCATAAGGGGATGAATATGATTCGCAAATTTATACCTATACTTTTTTCCATTGAATACTATTGCCTTTTCTAAATGAACATTGAAGAACCTTTATATGGCTTATATGTCATCCATACCAAAAGAGTTGATTTATTGTGATTTACGAAATTTTCATAATACTTTATACATCGATAAGTACAGTGGCGGTTTTTAGAGGGGGTTAAAGTGGCTCTCACCCCTCCTTGGATTTTTTTTGCATGTCCTTTTTTTAAAATTACACTAAATGTTTGAATTGTTTTTTACTGTGGGGGAAAACCCAAAAATTGAAAAAAGGCCCCCCCTTGATGTTTTATCAAAACCACCACTGGATAAGTATTATAACGTGACTTATTGGAGGTAGGACGTTCAGATTTACAAAAAAAAAAAATTAAATTACTAATAGACACATAGCACAAACAAAATTTAATTGACTTAGAGAGTCCAAGATAAAATTAAATAAAAAACGTGTATACTATACACTTGATTATAAGTAACGGGCTTAAAAAGAGGTATAGGTACCTACGTATAATATATGAATTTTTCCTAATATCTCACTATATAATTGCGTTTGTTAAAACATGTTTTGCTTAGAATTGTCTATATACTTAAATATAATCATAGTTTTTCTATGTGTGCGTGTGTGTATAATATATATTCACATAAAAAATTTTTTATTGAAACAAAACAATATGAAATTATTTTTTTGAAAGTCTACACTAAGTAATGCTCGCCTATTAATAAGATTATAGGTAATGATAAAGGGCCGCAGCTCACCACGCACGTCCTTGAATTGATAAATAGGACATGTTTTGCTGTTGATGGTGATGCTGACCAACGTTTTGTCTTGGGTACGGCATCGAGGTGTTGGTCAGCAACTGGTGTTGCGGTGGTTGGTGCTGTTGCTGGTGGTGCCCGACGTTGGGCGACCCGTGATGGTGATGGTGCCCATGGTGATGGGGGTGGACGGGGACTGGTACGTGGCCACCGTGGTGCATAGCGGGACTGTGGCCGTTGCAATTGTTACCGCCGGGCGCAGACTGTTGGCCGGACACGTCTGACGTACCTGAACACGGTTTGCCGTCTTTCACTAAAACGGGCACGGCCACTCGTCGTGGCGAACTCTGAGTCTGTGAATAAAAGTTAACTCAATAAGACTTAACTCGCGTTACAATATTACAATCGGTTTATTTGACGATTTTTTCTAAGGTAGTTATACTTATATATGAATAAACACACATGAGCAATAGACAATGGTACCTATACTTGAATTATTTGAAATTAGTAAATATGTATTTTTTGTATATACTTTTTTCTATTCAAACAAAATGTTTTATCTTATGCTCTTAGTATTTAGTATAATATGTACTTGTATATTTTTAACTTGACATTATTATAGGTTTGATTAAAGTCAAGATTAAATCGATAAAATATATTATTTACTTATAGGTATTCAACGAATAATTTAATAATAAACTATATTATAATCTCTTTTAAAATATCTTACCTGATTTTGGGCATTCTGTTCAGCCATAGCTTTTTCTTTCGCCTGACGTTTACACTTGTATCTATGGTTCTGGAACCATATTTTTACCTGTAAAATACCACCATATATTTATTTAAGTGCGAATAAAAAGTGTAATATGTATCCTAAATGCATATTATACTATTATAGAAGACTGCAGACAGTCAAGTAGATTCCGAAAGACTTAAACATAAACTACATACTATTAAAAACTCCTTCACATAAATGTATAATGTATTATATAAACCAATTGTGAAAAAACAATTTTAAAATTACCTAGGTACAACTGTATACAATTATGTAAAATTGTACACACATAAAATACAGGGTAATTTATGAGCTGCATATGTCCCTTGTATGCAGCTAAATGCATGCTCTGCAAGTGACCGTGTAGGTACCTGCATTATAGCATGACGTGAATTATGGTTTCAGCTATTAATCTGGGTTGGATATACACAATTGTTATTACCACAATATTTACAATATTACATTGTCAAAGGCGAGGTGGAAAGTATATAAATAGAAACGAATCCAACTGAGCATTTATATAAGTTGCTGTTGAAAGTCAAAAGATGACCAACATTAATATTGACAGTGAATGGGAACGAAGTGGAAATAAAGTTGAAGAGGTGTTTTTAAAAGTGCTCGCGAACCGAGTGCACTCTAAGCGGCTTTTGGATAACGGTTTAAAGACTAACTCTTTTGACCGAACGAACGGGATCCGCCGCCGCCGCGCATACTTGAGGCCGCCGCCGCCTCCACGAGTATCTGCGAATAATTCCTACATAAATTCACTTCACTTTTCAAAAGTACTCGGCTTCTACTTGGCTACTTGTCCGTATATTATATAAACGATACGAGCGCACGCTATTCACTCAGATTTTTACGTCTGTACCGCCGCCGACAGTTATTTAAATGGTTCGTGTTTTTTTTTCTTCATGTGTGCATTATAATACGAGTAAAGAGTAGGACAGTAGGCACACAAATGACATAATATTATATTAGTTATGTATAAATGTATAAAACATGATATATTGTGTAGTGTGTATTATTATTACATTACCCGCCGGGTTCGGTGATCATTGAAACAATGACGATACCTACCGATACTAATTATTATCACAATATATATATATATTATATATGTAATATGTAAACACTCCAACGAGGTTTTTAAATATGATGCACAAGAGTACACCAATTATGCGCATTATATTAGTCTACTTCTGTTGTCCCACTGTTTCAATAGGTAGTAAGTATGTGTACAATGCGCGAATTACCGCCGTACTAGAGATATTATAGAAGGTAATATAATATAATATGATTATACGATAACGTTGAAATTGAGCGTACATTATATAATATTCACCAAAAGACTAACGATAATGTTATTATATTTTATTAAGTATAATAGCTCTATAATTTCAAGTGTATAATTATATTTATGTAAACCACTCGATGCTATGGATTTTATGTTTTGAAACTCACAAAAACAGCGCAATATTATAGTACCTATTGTACGGAAGAGCGTGGTATGTATAATGTATCAATTATACGTTCCTATAAGGATATCGACGAATGTAATCATCAGTTTGGTACCTAAGCTGGAATTTGCTTTATTGACAAATCTAATATTATTTATATAATTTATATCAGGACAACAATTAATTACCATTGTGTATATAATGTACGAGTACCTATACAGTATATACCCATTACTATTACCAAAAAGTGAACTATTGATTTATTTTTTATAGATGATAAGAACTCAAAGCATGTTACGTGTTTTCATTATTTTAAATATTTAACAAGAATATTTTATGACCTTGGTATTAACCGAACATAAGAGAACTTATAAACAACTTTCATCTACAAGAAAAATGAATGTACCTACTACCTGCCCATACCTCAAATTTCAAAATAAATATAGTGTAATATAAGCTCCTACTATCGGTGCATCGAAAGATGACTAGAAAAACATGGACACGATAATTGAACTGCATCACGGCGGCATACCAAAATTATAAACGATTGAGTGGAAAATCATAAAAGTGAATATAAGTAAATAAGAAGTTGTATGTGTTTACGAAAGATCGGCCATCGAGAAATCGCTCTCGTCACCATCTTTCACGGTCAGAGCAATATGCAATAATAATTTTTATATTAACACCAGTAACGGGTAGTATAATTAGTATATGGAACCAAAATTGTATAGAGCAATAGACAATAAGAAATACCCATCAGTTGTGGGCAGTTACAATAAAATAAACATACAAGCATATTATGTATATCAGAGGTGGCCAAATTTTTTTGATTAAGATCTACTGAGGGTAATTTTTTTTTCGACTAATGTAAAAAAAAATATTTTATATTAATAATAAACATACTTATATAAATAATAAAAATAAAGTGTTTAGTTCTCTAAAATGAGTGTTCACATTAAATTTCTAAATAATTTTAAAATGTATTAAAATTTTACTGTTGACGTAAAAGCATGTCGTTGCATATCATGGCCAAGCGAAGAAGCTGTGTTAAAGTCTAAACCTAACCTACTCAGCTTTTATAACTTTCATGTGAGAAAATGCCATTTCAAACTAACAGGTTGATCCGAAATAGATGTATTAAATAACTCAATCTACTAAATGACTACTAATAATTAATAAATGCTAACAAGGGGGATAATCGAATTAGAAATCGTCGAAGATCGACCGTTTGGCCACCCCTGATGTATATGAGTATATGGTATATTATATTATTTTCAATTCCTGGAATTTTTTCATGATTAAATGCGTTCTATAAATTATAACACAATTCAAAATATATATAAGTATTGATCTTAAAAATCACCGCTACTGCCCCCATAGGGCTACAACCATATCCAGAATTAATGGGACTGGGGGCTAAGTCTCTCAAAAAACTGATCAGACACATGATGTGAAAATATAAAATATATACCATAATAACAAACACATTTCTTTGATTTCATCATAGTATAACGTAGCTCCCCCAACCCCAAATCTAAGGGGTATCCAATAAGGAGTGGTGTAAGACATTGACATCCTATCATTGATTGATAACCCATATAGGACAAGGCCTGTAGTTTTATAATATTTTAAAATATGACACAATATGATAGTATAATATACCTACATAGGTGAGTAATATACTGCCTATTCGTAATAATATATGTACATTGTACAACCCATATACGTAATATACTGCCTATACGTAATAATATATGTATAACCTATATATACGTAATATATAATATATTGTAACTACACGAATAATGAAATAGCAAGACTACCTATAACAGGTTATATGTTATTACACCATTGTCGGGTAGTATAATATAAGTTGATGTAAGCATATATATTATATTATGATCTGGTATTCTAGTATCTTAAGTATAACTACCTATATATCCTATAGGTTCATGCAGTAGTCACTGCTTATTGAATCGTGGTTATACATTGGGCTCATTATACGCACTTTTTAATGGGGTCAATGTGTATTTTTACATGCGTATTTCCACACGATTTAGTCCATTTTCCCGATTTGATCGCATAATATCGCATAACTTATACTATATAGTATATAGAATATATATTTTGATGACTAATATTATTCCCTGGATACATCACATAGATAAGTATTAAAGTTATATGAACAATTTTTTTACATATAATTTTAAGACTTAAGTCATTATGAAACAACTTGAAAAAAATTAATATATTTTCTATTTTTATCGCTATTAATTTTCATGCTTTTTTCCATAATGAATAACAATATATGTATGAAATATAAAATATATAAAAATCTTTTTATTATTGGACTTTTCACCTTATCCGGTTAATGAACTCAAATACTTGAAATACTCTGGTTCCAAAGTGAGTCCAATATGTACGAATATGTATTAGGTACTGTGCCTACGTAAATGTTCATAGAAAACCGAATACACGTAGGTATCGACGTCCTAGTGTTTACCGAACAAAAAAAAGGTATCTTCCCAAAAGAAAATAGGAAATCGTCCGAACCATAAATTTATAACAATAATATATAATTTATTTTATGATGCGTACGCATAACGTTTGTGCCACGTCCCGGTGTATAATAAATAATAATATAATGATAATAATAATAATATTGTATATGAATAAACACAACAAAATATATTATTATTATATCGTCGTACGGACGCACCTCTCGACCGACATTTCACGTTGGGAGAGTGGGAGGGGGTTCGACGAGCGTATTATATAAGCCCCGCGTGCGCCGAAAACCCGATTGGAGGGGGGGGGCGCACAAAAACCTAAACAGTAGTCGCTGCGATTATATAAAATATAATACATACATATTATTATTATATATATATGGCTCGCGGGGTCTTTGCCGCAACATCTGGCGCCCCGGCGGCCCCGTATACCTCGCGTATACCGTGTATATACCAGGCACAATCTGTCGGCCATTGTTCTGTGCCGCCACCGCGCACCGGGTATATACCGATCATCATCTCGAGTGGTGCCCGCGCATATATACTCTCGCCACTTCAGACGTACGTTTTTCGGAGGGCTCGCGATGAATACGCTTTTGTGCCCCCCTGTGCAACTACACACTGCAGCAGCAGCGGCACCACCGCGCTCACCATTCTATATCGTGCGCGTGCGTGTGCTTACGCGTATATGTATATAATATTATATAATAATACATTTTAGCGACCACCGCCGATATAATATATATATATACGATTAAGCTGCGTAGTAAAAAATAAAAAAAATACATAAAAGCCCGGTGTCGCGGCGATGGGTGGTGGTGGGTGAGTGATGACGGTGATGGTACTATATACGACCAGAACGGGGGCGGCGACGGGTGGCGCACAGAGAAAACCGGCGCGGCGCGACTAGAGAGACGATAATAATAAATAATAATACGCGCTGAAGCGGTCCCCTGCATCATCGTGATTGTTTAATATGTACGCGCGCGACGAGAGATCTCTACGGTGGCGGCGGAGTGGTGGAGGGACCGACGCACGCGTAACCCCGGAAAATGTTTAAGCCTCATTAACCGCACGCTGCAGCCCAAACGTTTAAGCCGAGTTTCAATAGGGCGTAGTTCATCGCTTGAGCCGCGATAATCTCACCGCGTGACGCCAAACGAAATCTTATATTATGGCCATGTTATACCTATGAGTACGTTACATTATATTATAATGCCAAAATACGTCATATAGACGCAAAACAATCTAATTTTTGTTTTATATTTTGAAAAAAATTATAATGTACTGTGAATTATATATATTATAATATGTGCTAAATGTGCCACTTATATAGTATACAAGTGGTATAATATATGTAGGTACCAGTCATACAACTTGTTTTGGCACTATTATAGTTTATTTTATTCACTGCAGTATCAGGGGGCACGAGCGGCGAATTCTAAACTAAACTAACAATTTTCTTAAATAATAACCTAAAGTGTATCCGCCCCATTTGGTCATTTATTGTAGAACGTGAATGCAAAACAACGAGCAAACATAATATACAATTAGACGTACCTATAAATGTACCTATAATAATAAATAAATAGCGAGTATATCCTGTATATTATATTTATCGGTATATCGTACCTATATGACTATATATGAGGACGCCAACAGTCCATTTTGTATACACATGGGTGGGTGTGTTATTACCGCCCTTATTTGTTCTAATGCCGATTCAAGGAAATCGCACTACTTCAACTCATCATGTTATTATAAGACATCATCAAGTAACCAATCGAAATTTTAAACCGTACGAGTCACTATTAAATATCTTATTATTTATTAACTATACCTATTTTTATTATATTATTATGCCCTGCTACCGGCCAAAGAAAAAAAATAATAGTATCGATTTTATGTACAAATGTTCTAATCGAACTCATTGACCCTGTTATCCACATGCATCAAATGTTGTAGTTGTTAAAATATTAAAATTATCTATTATATATTTATATACAATCCAGAACCTTGCACACAAAAGGTTTGAACCTCTAATCCACTATACCTACCATAGTGGCTATAGTTTGTTCTTTTCAAATTACATTATCCCAAAAATAATTTTAATATGGTATTATATACTTCTATACTAAAGTTATAAGAACACAATAATAAATTACAACGAAACAGGATCAATTAATTATACAGAGACGATTATAATATATAATCTAAAAACTAGCTAGGTATAGGTATATAGTCTATAGTATATTTGTATAAGGTAGTTTCGCTCGCCTCATGCAGAACAGGATAATGGTGTACTACATATTATTATCATATACATCTGAGAACGACCAATCTAAACGATTCTAAGTTGATCAGATACCTACTCCACTGTGTTTAATATATTAAATGGCATAGAAGATGTTTTATATTAAGATATATTATACGACGTGCTGATTTTTTTATTGAGCGTTAAGATTTTAGAACAACCCATATCATTTTTAGGATATGACTGCACTTTGAGCTCACGTCTTCGATACTTCTACAGCTAGGTATTATATTTTCTCTTAGAGTAACTATACTGATGAAATAAAAAAAATTATCTTTTCATAGTTCTATTTAGGTATGTGGTATGCCATACTTCATAGTAATAGAGATCCTGGAATACTGTATGAACATTTTGGAGTTTTTATAATACCCAAAATTGTGTCTGTGTGATTGTGAATACTATAACAGTAAATTATAAGAGTACCTATAATATGGCTATATAGAACTTGAAGACATTTTCAATGTTGTAGCCAACACATTCAATATACGTACATATAGTTAAGTAGTATAAAATGCAAATTACAATATGTTTATTATGTATGGTTTTTATACTATGAACTATAAAATATGAAATGTATATAAGTAAAATTATTATTGTGTGGACTATTATTTGTTAATCGAACCTAAACATGAGCTAAGCGTCTCAAAGCATATAAGACCCTTTGTTAGTTATTTATTGCGTCAAAAATAAATATACATTTTATTGACGATATAATACTAAGTAATCGTAATGACAAAATAATTATCACATAATCCAAGATTATTTGAAAATTAAAAAAATATATGAATCAAGTCTAAAATATAGGTACTAATAATTAATACATTTTAAATATTTTTGATACCATATACCTACCTATAAGTATACAATGGAAATTAAGTATATTTTATAGGAAACAATGTGATTGAGTACTGTACAATTTTCCCATAAATAATTTTTAAATTTAATGTTTAGACTAAAGTTATGATTGAAAAATAGACTAATTTAAGCATTTGTTTATTTTGATGATTTATTTTTAATGAATCACTTATTCTTATATTTAGGTACTTAAATAATGAATCTGAATAATTGTTTTTGTCATTTAGATTATACGCCCGATTATAATAAAAATATACTGATTATTTACCTGTGTGGGAGTTAAATGAATTAGACTAGCCAAATGTTCTCGTTCCGGAGCTGATAAATATTTTTGTTGTTTGAACCTCCGTTCTAATTCATAAACCTGTAAAAGTAATACAATAACTATAATACAGGTTATATTTTCTTCTCTTTCCTAGGTAAATCATAATATAAGGATAATACATCGATTTTGGAAAGGAAATAAATACACACACAAGCCAAAGCCCGAAGGGGAAAAATATTTGGACAATTTATAAATGGGATGGATGTGTTCGTGTCAAAACGATGCTTTCGTGGATTTGACGTGACGCCTGATTGTGTTTACATTTATATAAGAAATGTGGATTTTGAGACAGTTTAAGTGCGATGTAAACATCTATGAACTTGAATAGTAAATATAGTTTTGGGTTACAGAATAGGTTCTCAAACGTAAATAAAGATCATATATATAATACAATAAACGTGCACTGATATAAGAACGCAAGCTAAAAAAATAAAAATAAAATACACTTTATAAAGAATGGAATGTTAGATAAATGTTTTATTTTGTAAAATACAACTTCACATTCAAATTAAAATAAAAAATAAATAGAGAGTGAATTGAAAAGTAATATTGTCAGGTTGTCACTTTTACCTTTAATAGGCTATATTAAGTACCTAGCTATATTATAAAGCTATATTACACAGCTGTAAGCTCATTGACATGTAATTATTAATTTAATATTCATTATATAACTCTTACATAATATGTATAAAAGTAAAAATAAACTTAAATATTATATTGTTCCTGAGTCAAAAGTCTTATAATTCCACTACACTCTGAGTAAAATTTGAATCCGTAAAAATATAAAAAAACATAAAGAATTGAAACGTATTCAAAATCACACGATTATACCTATATAGAATTATATCATATTATATATATATATATATAGTTTTACGTACTTGAGCCTGAGTGAACAGCACTCTCCGCTTTCGTCTCTGGGTAAGTGGAAACTGTAGAGGTGGTTTGATATCGCATTCCATGTTTGTCATACCATTCATCGGGGTGTTTGACGAGCCCATCAATCTGGATACTGCAATAACACACGATCGTTATTAAATTTGAATTTTTGGCATGGTATAATAAAGGTCAATGACTTTCCAGCCTAAAAACAGCGCTCATTGGGAATTCATTACGTCTATACCTCTATACTATAAATACGTAAGGGTCTGGCGAATAATCCCTGCAACACCCCTTTAAACCACCTTGTAAGATGCTCGTTTATTGACTCATGAATATTTTATAATATAATATACTATAATATATATTATATATGTATATTTGTATATTTGAACAGGTTTATACCTTTTGATCTAAGTGAAACTTTACTCACTTTTTGTATATTTTCTACATAGATTTTTCTACATTTATCATATTTAAGTTAAGTAAATTTTTTAATTATCTGCGTACCTTTATAGATTGTATTGATAAGTATTATCTTCTCATTAAAAATATACCACTTATGTATTAATTTTAATATATACTTTTACGTTTATCGTGATACAACTGCATTACAATGCATGTACGAATTTCAGGTTATTTAGAGCTTTATTCAATAGAAGGAACCTTTCTTTATTAGGTACCTACATAATATGTAAGACAATTATTAAAGATTCAAAAATAATAATTTGAAGAAATAGAATAATATTTTTCCATTAATATTACTTAAATAGTTGGGATTTATAATACATAAATATAAACATTTGACATTAGTCTTATGAGTTATGACATAATATTAATCCTTCCCTATCTATGCCACTACATATATACGATATACCTAAGATTTGTTATAAGTTATGACATAAAAACTAATTCGTATCTATTAATATTGAACGATTTACATGTTTATAATGTACATAATCATCTACAACCTTAGATAATAATTGTATAAAACGATTCATGAATAAACCACTAAACCAGTCTATAAACTGCTCGCACTGACCTACATTGTATAATGTGTTTCAAGTAGGTGTAGGTTTATCAATATTACCAGAGAGAGGAGCACAATATTGTATATTAGTTACTCATAAATAATATTTAATATAACTGCATAATAATATATTAATATACCTATTAAGATATATATTATAATTATATTATTATTTTATACATCAATTCTGTATAATAATAATAATAATTATGTACAATAAATGTACTCTACAACTGCACGTCTGCATTGCGGCCAAGCGTATACGAAATAATATAGTGTTGATCAAGTACTGTAGGTTCCAATTATTATTTTGATGACAGGACGTACGTTCGTATATAATATAGCCGGCAATATATATTAATGTACCCTCCCAGCCACCACATGCACTAACATACACACACACACACACACACACACACACACACACACACACACACACACACACACACACACACACACACACACACACACACACACACACACACACACACACACAAGCACATTGTTCATGCCAGTCACAAAGCAAACACTATATATATTATAGCCGCGCCTTGTCAACTACAAATGGAGCGTGCGATATGGGTTCCGAGCTTTTTGTGCGCGCATTATCCAGAGACGATTTTTGACAGGTTTTCGCCTAACGGGGGAGGGAGGAGGAGGTTAAGGAATCGATAAACACCCTGTACATATAATAATAATATATTCGAAGACACGTGTCGGTATAAGAACAGAAATGCGTGAGTGCGCTGCAGTGTGTATATAATATAATGTACCTATGTAATTGCGTGTTGTATCTATTATAATATGTGATCTTGCATAATATATAAATGTTTGCCAGTAAGTATAATATAATATTCAATATATTAATCGTGTATACGGAAAACCTACTTAAGAAATAATCAATGAATATAATATGTATAATTGATATAAACTTAGACATACATTCTCGCTATATTAAGTTACTGTTATAAGTAGGTAATAGATAATAAATATGACTAAATCTGCCTCTACGACCGTATCCAAAGTTATTGTTATGGATTAATGGCCATAATATTATAAGCTAACGTGGTGCTAAAGTGAATGTTTAACAAATACCATAATATGAGATATTTTTTCATTTTCCTAATGATCGTATTAGGCTGTACCTATAAGCGCAACTAATGTCCGACCATCTTTTGTTTGCAGGCCACACGAGTAAAATTGCTTTTTCGTGGGAGCCAATATTATTATAATCTTATAACGTCTAATATGTTGAAATTTACTTGTAGGTATATACAAATATTAAATAATGATACTTGTATAAATGCTTCACAGATTAATTATTAATAATAGAAAAACCGTATAATTTCAAAATATTTACAATGAATATACGAAATAATACCTATGGCCTTTTAATTTTTATTTTAATAATTAACTCTAAAAGCCACAAAAAAATTTAAATAATATATACCTATATTTTCAATATTGCTAGTTACTTATCATTAATTATTATAAATATACTAGCTGATCCCGTGCACTTCGTTGCTCGTTAAATGTACCAACTCTATATGACTCAAACTTAGTTCAATTCGTTATTTATAATATTTGGTGTATGGTGTTCAAAATGTAGGTATATTAACTTTTCCGTTGCCCGGAATAAAATGTATGATTTGCAGTAGTACCTATATTATCAGGTAGGCAATCTATCTGCTGTAGATCGCGGACCCCGTGCTGTTTGTACGTAAGTGTATGATTTAACTCTTAAGTATCAAAGTTATACCAAGTTTGTCGTACTCCACCTATGGGGGATTAATATAATCAATTAATACAAAATCCTAACCTAACCGTAACTACTAATATCAAATGAATAAAAAAAAACCGAATTTAACCATTTTTAAATAAGCCTGTCTTCTTCCCAGATGTCTAATATACAAACAAACATTCATTTATATATTTATACAGACAAAAATAATAATACAAATCAACAAACATGCTCGACTAACCAATAGCAACAAATATATTATAATACACTGTTGTATTTTTTACATCCAGATTTCTCACTTTTCCGGTGGATTTTCCTAAAATTTTCTTTCGTAAAAACATTATCCTGGCAATTACGTACATCTTAAAAAAAAATTGAGCCAAATCGGACCAGCCGTTCTCGTTTGATGAGGTATAACGACATTTTCACGCTGCATTTTTATATATATAGATTATTATACCTTTATTTTATATAAAACATAATATAAAAATATATACCGTCTATTGGTTATTATTATTTTAATTTATTGTAAATATAACATGACATTCATTTTACATTTTACGTCCATCACTTATTAGATGTTTTAGCTTCAAATTGGACAATTGGATGTAATATTCAATTTTGAGAACTAAGAAGATAACAAAAATTTATAAAATTAGGTACTATTGAATTAATCTTTCCTATTTAAGTATTTTAGAAACAGAATCTTAATGTCTTCAAAATATTATCATTTATTACGTATTCAAGTAGGTTACTAATTAATAATTATAATATACAAATACAACTATAAATAGGTACGAGTTTAACACAATGTTCAAGTCTCATGCAATATTATTCAATACAATTAACATTTTAGTACCTAAGTAATTATTTACTTATTAAAAATTATTTTTAAGTTTATAGTGCATTTAAGTCAGCAGACAATAATACATCTGTATACTCGAGTATACTTAAGAAAGTGTTTAAATTTGTTGTTATTCCGAGAAACCTGTAAGATTATCGTTTTAATATTCTCAATGCTTAAAATATGTTTTAATGTTTACTATTGGGATTCATACTTAGGAAACTTTGAAGAACAGTTTAAAAGTTCAAAAGATAATACTTACTTCTTGTAACTATCAATTTTATTCTTTAGACTGCTAGACCATTAAATTATAATGAAAATTATCTATACTTAACAAAATTATTCAATCGTTTCACAAAAGTTGCAAAAGTTATAGTATGACCATAAATTAACATAGTTATACCTGCACCACTGTATATTCAAGTACACCTCAATTTTACATTAATAATTAAATATTTAGTACCTAACTGTATATTTGGTTAAAACTTTTACAACAGAAGAGATAACCAACTGACATTAAGTACGACTATGAAAAATAACGATTTTGTGCTACCATTTGCGACTAGTCATTGATTCATTTATAATTTATATAAGATCCTATACTATACCAAGTCTATAAGTTATAACTCATAAGGTTAATGATATGAAATCTAATAAATTATAATATTCGTTTAATGGTGTCAAGACATCCCTTGCATTTGTATATAACAAAAAAAAATTTAATTTACATAAATATGCATTTAAACCCTAATTAGTTCAATATTTTTTTTAAATAAACTAACTATTGTGTGCTTCTATTAAAAAATTACAGTTTTTGTTAGTACACATAGATATAAAATGCGTTACTGCTATGTAATATAAATAGTACCTATTCACCATCCATGATTTCTCACGTTCTTTTCTGACTGATTTCGGTATTAAGGCAAACATTAAAACCTAAAGAAAAATGTACAATTATCCCACGAGTTCCGTTCAACGATTTAAACTTATAAAAAAACAATATGGTCGGGTTTGACAGACCTTGACGAACACAATTTATTTTAATGGCCGCCCCTTCGTACATGGCCCACATCAATAATTCCGCATTTCCTTTTCCATCGGTTCGGCAACATAGCATAATAAATAATAATAATATGTACGGTATGGTATCTATATACGTATAATATATATGTTATATCATATGATTTACGCATATATCACAAAAGACACTCGTTATAAACAGTGGTTTAGTATTGAAAACCTATTTAGTATTTACAATGCGCGTGAAACCACATTATACAACATAATATAAGACGCGAGATCGAATAAAGGATATCCGGACGGGTATTGCATTTTTCGTCCGCGATTGACTCATCCGGCACCTTTCGAGTGGGCGTTTCACGTGAGTATATTGCCACCGATTTTTGAATGAACGAAAATTATTATCTGGTCGACAAATCGGGAAATGCGGCTATTATATTATTATTATATTGTGTAAACGAAATAACGCGTTGAAAGGTTCTTTTTAAAACGCATTATAGAAGATATATACCTGCTGCAGTGATCTTAACATTCTACTACATCACTGTTGTAGCATCGTGGGTGTCCCCCGTCCAGAGGAGTGAGAGCAAAAAAAAAAAACCCCGGTAGAAAAGATAATATTTTGATAGCTTGATTGCTATCGAACGAGGGAGAGGGTTCGTTTATATACGATTGAAATAAACCAATAACAAGCGCATTGTCGGGCTCGAGCGTCCGGGAAGCGTATATTTTTACCTGTTTGTCAAAACCAAAACTACGTCAATGTTTTCCTAAGTTTCCGAAGCCACGAAGTATAAAAAAATTTAATGAGTCTTCCCCCCCTCCCCCTTTATGCAGTCGTCATCACTCGTTTCCGAATGGAATTCGTTTCGGTCGCCGTATTTGTATTTGCCAAACATCGGTAGCCGGTCGGTATTATACAGGTCCACCAGGCCTTGGAAATATTTCTTAGGCAAACACAGCACAAGCTATATACAGGGTGACAAATATTATTTTAATGCTGAACGGAATAAACGAGACGCACAACAGTCCGTGTATAACGTGTTTAGGCATGGTTCATTCATAATATATATGATGGACATCGTTAGAAAACACACATAAAAAAATGTGCTTGGTAATGTCCAACCGACGTAGCTGGCTTACCTACCTATATATACATTATTATGACTATACCGATCGATTTTATTGTTACTCGTATGATATGGAGGTCATAGTATTATTTTAGACGTTCGATATATAGCCTTGTTAGAATATTCTCTCATGTCTAAACGCACAAGACACACAGTTAAAACACGATTTTATTGTTTAGATAGACATTTTTTATTTTTACAAAGAGATTTCATTATGGTTTAAGATAACAATACAACAAAATTTTAAATATTTATTTTTTTGTACACTTAAGTGTTTATTGAATAAAGTTAATGCATTTAAAATAATTTAGCTTTGGTTGATTTTAAAAACGTTAGTTAAATATTAGAATGAATTACATAATAAACATTTAAAATCATTTTTTAAACCTAGTAATATTTATAAAAAATATTGATTAATAAAATTTGTAAATATTAGCTATAGTATAAATGTCTACATTATAAATGTTAAATAGTATATATTCTACAAAGGAATAAAGGAGTACCTATACTTAATAGAACTAATACCTACTAATAATATTATACGTATATATTTCAGTATTAATAGTATATAGGTTATATGTATAATTTATAATATTTTAGTACTTACACTTTTTTTTGGGCATAAAATAATACTACGACTTAGGGTTATTCACTACAGCAGATAGCAATGCTATATAAATATATTTTTATAGAAACGTAGTTGAATTGAAAGTAATTTATCTGAAGTATAACAAAACGTTATATGTATAATGATATTAATTTTTAGTAGGTAATAAAATTTTAATTTTAATTTCAAATTGTTAAAAATGAATGTTTAGTTGATTTAATATAGATCTACACAAAAACAAGATACTTACCTGCTTAATTAATTATATGTATAAATATTATGAATTGTATTACCCTTATAACATTATTATACTATATTTAAATCATGCTATGCACGATTTAGCAGTTTTTAACAAAAGTTAATGAATAAGAATTAATTAACTTTATTAATGTTATCTATAGTTTCTTAAAATTTAAGTAAATCTTAGCCCTCGGGTAGATATCAAAGTCCTACATGCATATTTTTCCCATTTTTATAAAACCCTATCGTTAAAAATTTCATAAAAATTGGGTATATATGTACCTATATGTATCGATGGATATTAAATATTAATAAAATAAACATTAAACATATACAACAGATATTATATATTAGGCAGATGATTTACCCTATCCTATTTTAAACATCAGCTCATAGGTTAACGAGTTTATAGAATGTAAATACAAGGGCCGCCCATAAAAAGCTTTAGGCAGTCGATCAAGACGACTGAGGCGTATGTGGCCATGTGGGGATGTTCTTATAGTAGGTTCATAATAAAAAGAGGGATAATGACATTATAACGACTGTTGTAATAACCGGTTAGATAGTGTACATCCCGAGGCAAATGTTTTGCGGAAAAGGGGGATCTCATATAAACGGATCCCGGTCTAATCCAATATGACACCCTGAATGCACATTGCACACTCCCAGGGTATTTTACGGTCGCTTGCGCATGTTTGTGTGAAAAAAACATAAACATCCTTCGATTAACGATGATAAATCTTTATAGGTCTAATTTGGTATAAAAATGTGTAGATACATTTTCAGTTTTATTAATACTATATTGTCAAATTTATTTAAGTGTCTATATATAGGTAAATAATAGTATACATCAAAGTTAAATATAAAACCAAATTAAGGGAGAAAACATCTTTTTTTTTAAAATTTTTAACGCCACTAAATAATATTACTATTAATGTATTTTTATTTTTTTTGTTTATAAAAATAAAATATACTTATCATATAGCTTTTATTTTATTGAAATAATTTTTAACTGAAATTACATATTTGATATTATGTAGGTACAACATAATAAATACATAATATGACTAATCAGTATAATAGGTAACTAATTACTAATTAGTAATAATTATAATTTATAGGTCTTATACAACCTTATATACCTGATATTGACCATGTTGTAGGTGTAACGTAAGTCTTCAATACTTAGGTATAAGCAAATATGTAATATACAATTATTGTAAATAAAACTACAAATTCGCTACGATGTCATGTTTAAGAACAAAATCTAATTTCTATTATCCATCAATATCGCAATAAATGGGCATAATTCTTGAATTTTGAACATTTTATTTGCATGTAGTATGTGTACATATTCAATATTAATACATTCAAATATTCAATACGGTTCAAAGGAATGACATGTTATAATTCAAAACCAATATTTTCAAACAAAACTCATATAATTGCTTAGCTTTAAAGTAATAAGTTATTTAATATATCTGACTATTTAAAAATAGGTAAATAAAATACCTAACGTAATAAAATAAATAATATATTATTTTCATATTTTGTCTATTTTTGGATATTGTTTAGGATATTTAAGGAAATATTCATGCATTTTTAAGTGCTTTAGTTTAATATTATGTTTTAATATTGAAGAATGTTAACACATTGATATGTAGAAATTGTATAGAGACATACCACCTTATTATAAACAATTAACATTATATTATCAACAATTTTTATTTTCAATTAATATCAATAACATTAAAATTATTTAAATCGGCAATAATATATCATTTATATATATATAGTTGTCTGTAGTCTGTTAGTTTGTCTATATACCTAGTATCTATATATTCTATAGTGTTAACGGTTTAATTTAACAACTTATCAATATATTATATAGGTGCGCAAAAATCTACTGGTATGTTATTGAGAAGTAAATTTTAAATATGACTGTGAAATGTTTATTTAATTTTCATGGACTTTTAGAAATAATATTTGTCACTATAGTGTAAAAGAAAATATTCAAACTTATAATAGCAGCCTCTGCTGCATCTATGATCTATCAATCGTCTTTTATTGATAATATAATTTATAAATACTTGTTTATATTATTATTGTATAATTTGAACCTACTTGCAAACCGTGGGTCGTTGGCTGGTGCCCCGTACCACGTGGCTGAATTCCCGTACGACGTCACCATGTCCGGCTGACAATATTGAGGTGGTGGCGGCGGCGGCGCCGGGAATTGCGGGTGCACGTGCCAGCTGGCCGCGGCCGGGACCGCTCCAGGGACGTTATTATTATTGTTGTTGTTGTTACCTCCACCGCCGGACATGGCTCCTGGGCTTCCGGAGGCACTGCCACCGGTGCTACCGGCCGTGCTGGACCTGTGGTACGGAGAAGGCGATCCGCACAGCTCGAGCTTACGGTACTCCTCGATTGGGCTGAGTATGTCGGTAACAGAGAACGGTGTTGTGTGCGCGGCGTGATGGTTGTGATGGTGGTGGTGGTGCGGTTTGGGGCTCAGCGACATCGCTAGGTCAGCGCTATTGAGCTCCGGCAGCAGGTCGCCCGAGCTCTCGGAGAACACGGCTGATGCCGCCGACGAAGCGGCCGTCACCGAGAGAGCCACTTTCGCGGTTTGTCCGTAAAATTTATACCCGGAAAAACGGTACGGCCGCGATCGCGCCGAATTTTTTTCGCCGTTTTTTATTTTTTGACGCCGGCGGAATGCGGAATCAGCTACTGCACTATCACGTCATTGCGGTGAACGGGATTTTTCCGAATTTTTTTTAACGTGATCCGCGTGTGTGGTGGCGCGGCCGAGAAAAAAAGTAAAAACAATAATAATAATAGCACAAAATAAATAAACTCTGAGGCTCTCGTGTGTGGAGCACCACCCGAAACTAGTGTCACTCGAAACTGGACTACTCGACGTCGACGAGAGGACTCGAGGGCCGCACTCGAGTGGTGGAGCCCCTCGGCCCCGCGCAACCCAACCGATGGTGGGACGGAACCGCGTGGAGGCGTGGCCGACGGCGACCAATAGCTGCGGTACCTGTGCCGACACAATGCGAAAGGTTACGATGAAAAAAATTAAAGAGAGAAAAAAGAAAGAAAAAGAAAAAAGTTTTACACTGCTGCGCACGTATACGAAGGGTAAAAATCGTAGATAACAATCGGTAGCGATTCGGAAGAGGAGGGTGGGGGTCGGAGATAAAAACAGTTACCGGGTGCAATAAAAATAGCGATATTTCCGGTCGTGTATAAACCTTTATATGTATATATATACTATATAGTATATACCTATATAGGTGCATGGTATACATATGCGGCATAACAGTCCTATGTATAAAATAAATACTCGGAGGGCACAGGATTGGTTTTGATATGGCACTCTGGGCCGATGGGAAAAGTAGGGTTTTATAGCAGTTGTTAGGGTGGGGGGGCTCTCGTGCGCGCTAGAAGCATCATCGTCTCAAAGTAGCGTAATCAATTACACGCAAAACGAGTACTGGCGAGAGGTACTTATCGCCACGAAAGACAACACCATTTGACTTAGCCAAGTGCATCGCATCGCCTCCACCATATACCACGCTTGCTGCACTCTATTCAGCTATATACATAAATATATATATACATACGAGTATGATTGTATGAAGAATCCGAAATCGGTTAACCGAAAGCCGCGTTGATGTGATGTATTGATGTGTACTTATATAGGTGTACGGCTCGAATTATTATGTTATCATATATTATATACCTATTATATATCACGTATATAAGTGTGCCGCAAGGCGCAAGGTATATATAACCGTATATAGGATGGAAGTTTCGATTTACATCCAAATTGCGTTGTTTTGCAACAGGATGGTTTGTATAAAAAATATTTCTGAACGGTGCTTGATAAACATCAAAGCGAATTTCAAGTTTCAACAACAATAATTAAAATTACATATTCAAACCTCACTGCACTAATAATGTCTATATATGAAACAAATTACTGATATTAACTCATCTCATGCGAGTCATCATAAAATAATATTATATAATATATTACCTATAGCCATATAGATATAAGTACACATTATACGATATACCTATATTATAATATTAGGTTATAGGTACCCATACCTCTAATATTATATTATGCTGTAAATACAATAATTATTTCATAGATTTACCAATTGATTTTCTGTATTATAGTTACGAATCTAATGTAGTGTACCTACAACACTATTATAGTATATTATTATTATAATATGAAATGTTATATTACTAAATTATATTCATTTACCTACCTATATTAAAATACTAAATCATAAATACGTTTTATTTTATTTTATTTTATTTAAAACATGGAACTATACAAAATATATATATAGAAGTAATTTTAAATTGAGTAAATTAAGTAAATCTGTATATATATATAATATAGACTAAATAGTTAATAATAAAACCTATTATCCTTATTTTTATAATTTTCTACAGCAAGTGTAAAATATTTTCTGGAATAAACTTTCAAAATGTAGGGAATTGGGGTTATTCAAAATCATCTTCAACTTTCGAAATTACTTATAACCTTTTTTTAATGGAGTTTTAAAGTACTTTAAAGTACTTTAAATAATTTATAATAAAATATAAAGAGCTAATCCATCGTAAAAATTAGATCAGCTTTGCTGAACAGACTATATTTCTGAAAAATACACACTTTTAAATGGGGCAGGTATTAGGATTAATTAAAACGAAATACAAACTTTAAAATAGGTACATAATATTTAGAGTTCTATTAAGACCTGTTTAGACCAAATAGTATTACTATAAGTGGCATTCTCTAGTTGTAAACAAACTATCAACTATATGCGTTTAGCAGCACAACAATAAATATTCAAATATTTTGAAACATCAGTGGATACAGTGGCGTATTTACAATTTTGGCGCCTCTTTTTTTCTCAGTTTCCTTTTATTTATTGCCACAAAAAACTTTTAAACCCCCTCTAATTTAAAATTTACTTTTTCTCTCAGTTAATAGTGCAGGGCTTAAAACCGTTATAAAACTGAAACCGAGAACAAAATCAAAACAAAAACCGAAAATAATTGGAAACTGGTATTAAATTCAATACCGACTCGAAAAAAATTGGATACCTGTATTATAATTAAAAAACGATAATATAATATAAAAAAGCGGTATTTTTTTTTGAAAATCTCTGTATCTTGACATTTTTGAAAGCTTACTTTACACAGGCGATCGGACGCTCGATCCAGCGATTCAAAAAAATTAATAAACTAAGAATGAACATAAATAGTCCAGGTATTGAAACCGATTTTAGAAACCGGTATAAACCGTTTAAAAACTGAAACCGATAACAAAATCGGAAAAAATTGGAAATCGGTATTAAATCCAAAACCGAAACTGAAAAAAATTGGAAACCAGTGTACAAATCAAAACCAAAACAGAAATTTTTTCAATCGGTTTCAAGCCATGTAAAAGTGATAATTGATAACCCAAAATGTATATTTTCCCCTTATGCATTTATGCTTCCACTAATTTAGAGAACACTTTTATTTTACCATTAACACTCCAAGTTCCAACTCCATTTATTCTTAATAAAAAGTTAACCATTATAATAAAATAAACAAATTATAATTTAGATTTCAGCATTTTAGCCTTTTTTTACGACAATGTAATAAAATACATTATATATATTATATAGAAATATGTATAGAAATGTAAAAGATATTATAAGAAAGATACAGGTATTCACTTATCAGTTATCACTAATATAATTTCTCAACAAATCCGATAAAATAAAAAAATAATTTTGTTATAATCTCTAGCGACGGCGTTCCTTTGAGGACTCAGAATTTGGCGCCCCCCGTCGCCGCCCCTTAAATACGCCACTGAGTGGATATATTAATATCTTATTGCCATGGTCAGCTAGTATATTAAATATTATTGATAATTTTGAATTGAATATTGATACGAGTCATTATTTTGTGATATTAAGTCTATATACTATAATTTAATTAACAATATATTAAAATATTAAAAAATATAATAATATGTATATATTTTAATATACATAGGCACATAGCTGGTAGAAAAAGTATTCCGAATACTGTATTCGGAATACTACCCAAGTCTGTTGGCTAAGTCAAATGGTGTTGTCTTTCGTAACCAATGGTGGATAATAATATGTAAGTGAAATTGACCTGCAATTAATGAATACATTTTTTTTTAATTATTAATCTTAGACAGAGCCCTACCTAGGAATTTTGGGACCTGGGGCTCATATTTTGGTGGAGTCCCTTAATTTAAAATATAAATTCTGTTTTTTTTTTTTTTTTTTGATATTTCATTTGTTAATGTTTAGTTTATATTTTTAGATTATAAATAAATTATAATTAGACGGTGATAAGTCTATAAGTAATTTTACTATTTAATGTTGATTGATACAAAGAAATCGCATATGACTATATTACAGTAATGGTATATGTGGGCCCAAATTATGTCAGGGCCCATGGCTGCAACCCCCTAGCCATCCTTAAGTAGGGAGCTGATCTTAGATATATATAGTTCTATAATCTACAAATCATCTACTTGACGCAGTGGGTATTGTGGAGTAAATCGGAACGTATGCATGTGTGACAGATATACACGACGTATGATGATTGTATGAATATCATACCCAAACACCATTTAATATTCCTGAATTATCCTTAGAAATAGGAGCTGACATACCGGGAAGAAAGTATTTCATGAAAATTTTAGTCCTTGTAATTTATGCTATCAATGTAGGTACATAATAAGTAATCTGTTATAAAAAACAACATGCAATTTATTGTGAAACACTGACACATATAAATATTAATTTTGTTAATTGGCGCTATACTTTTAATTTCAATTATTTGAATTTACCTGCAGATAAATTTACGAAACTTACATCAGTTATAGCAATAGCACTTAAAACGTGAATAAAAAACATGGATTACAATTAATAACATGAATAATTGGACAATAAAAGATCAGAATTATAATATTCCTGATTTTAGATATTTTATTATATTAACTCATAGGTATATATTACTGATACATTACTAATTTATGTACACAAAGTACCCACGTTTACCTATATATACTTCAATTATAATATATTAGCTTCCACATTGTTCTATTTTACTTTATGTAGGTACATTTTTATATTTTTCTTGAAATGTGCCTATATCTATTAACATTAATTATTGATTGGAGAATAAAATACAAAAACTTATGAATAAGTAAAAAAAAAAATTATTATTAACTATTTCATAGTGGCACAGTAATTTATTACAATTTCTATAAGGTTAAAATGGTGCAAAATACAATTTTTATAGGTAAAAGATTGCTCAGATTACATAATACTTTTTATTTAGTTTTTGGTATGTAGGTACAAGAGAAAAAAACACAAAACGCAAACAGAATTATTTACTTTTGATAATATATTGTAGACATTTTATTCAACTCAGTATGGATGTATATTTTGTTTTTTCAAA